AAGTGACCTGTACTGTTACACAGGAACACACACTGGAAGTCAGAGGTGGTTTTACGGTACCTGTCTGCATTGCACATTTTGCACACTCCCACTTCATTTTCACAGGCATGAAATCTACTCATAATCACAGGTAACAAAAAGAACACCCGAAAAGCAGGATCCGAAATCACCCTGTGACGACAGGCCCTCCACGATGACTAGTTCAGATGCCCCTACTGCGGTGCAGCAGCACTCCTCCCATAGTGCGTGACACTACTGTCATCAGCCTTTGTTTTTCAGGCCTGGCCTCAACCCAGCCCCAGAGCGTACCTGTAATAAACAGCATGGGGAGCAGCCTCACTACCCTGCAGCCCGTCCAGTTCTCCCAGCAACTGCACCCATCCTACCAGCAGCCCCTCATGCAGCAGGTCCAGAGCCACATCAACCAGAGCCCCTTCATGGCTACCATGGCGCAGATACAGAACCCTCACGGTAAGAATGTGAAGTCATTTGCTCAAGCAAACCAAAAAAATAAAGGCTCTGTTCTGGAGCATTCACTGGGTCCTTGGGCTTGCAGCACTCTATTTTCCTCTTCTGTTATTGTTGCTTTAATTATGAAGTTACTTTTCTCTTGCATTCATCTCCCTGTCCCTCCACTCCCACTGTTTCAGAGACAGACAGCAGGTCCACATGCATGAGGAGAACAACTCAGCCAAATTACTCTCATGCAAAGCTCCAGCATCCACATGATCTTGTTTTCTTTCATGCACAGCTCTCTACGGCCCCAAGTCTGAAGTGGCCCAATACACACATACAGGCCTCTTACCACAAACCATGGTGATAACAGATACAGCCAATCTCAGCGCCCTGACTAACCTGACACCAACTAAACAGGTAACAAACAGCCTTTAGCACATGCCTTTGTTCCCCCACCTTAGAACTGCACCAGTCTGCAGGTAGCTCCTTGCTTGTCAAAGAGTTTTTGGGTGTGTGGTCTATGCCATCCCAGCAGGATGATCTTTCTTATCTCCTTGCCTTGCTGGTACCAGCTGCAATACTGGAGGCATTAGAGCAAGCTCTTCACTGCATCATCAAGGAGGATTTAATCTCCTTGGAAACAGCACCTGCTCATTCTTCTCTTACGCCTGTTAGAAGGGATGTAGAAAACAGGCACTGTTAACTTCCTTTTCCCTAGGCATTCACGTCTGACTCAGAGACTCACACAGAGTCTGGGATGCATACGCCAGTGTCACAGGCACCAACGATACATTTACAGAACCAAGACACGACCATCCAGCACCTTCAGCCAGGCCCTCGCCTCACCTCAAGCCCTGCCGGTAAGAGCAGCAGCCACTGTTATCTTAAACCACATATTGCTGTTTCTCTTGCCCACGCTGTAAAACCCAGACAGAATATCTTAACTGGGACTCACCATTCTCTAGAAGGGCTCTACCAGTGCCTTGGGGGCTTTGAAAAGCTGGTACAAAGAAAAGACTCAAAGCACAGTCTGTGCAGGCTGTATAAGTCCAGACTGGAAATGGGACCCTTCTTCAGAATCTAGATAGGAAAATAACCTTAAAAATATTGACAAAAATCAGTGTCCGTGCATAGCCAATCCTGCTGGCAGGATTCAGGGCTGAAAAGCCCAAGACTCCCTTGTGAAGACTCCAGTTGGATCTTCCCAATTTTAAGAGAAGAAATAGGACATTAACAATCAACTAGAATTCTCAAATCTGAATTCCCCAACACTGTCAATACTTTCAGGCTAGCTTTGTACTTGAGCTGGGTATACAATGGCACACAAAATAGAAAAAGGAGTTATGCCTCTATGCCAGGAGGTTTTAGTCATGCTGGAAATGTGAATGTGTGCACACACGATAAAGGGACTGCAGTGAGAATTTGTACTTAACTTCTGCCTGTGCCTTTAACAGCATCCTCCAGCAGCCTGGTGCTGTACCAAAGCTCTGACTCCACCAACAGCCACAGTCAGCTGCTGCCATCCACTCACAATGTCATCGAGACCTTCATCTCCACCCAGATGGCATCCTCCACTCAGTAATCGAGTCAGCAGGCTCAAGGGTGACTGCCACGACCAACCTGTCAGGTGCAACTCCAACTGTGTTTGCCATCACTGCCACCGCTTCCTTCCATGCGAAGGAAAGGCTGCTGCGCTCAGCCAACCTCCAGCCCCCACTGCCTCATACAAATCCCTTACTCAGCTGCCACCATGAGAAAAGATGTCTCAGCCTCAAGACAGAAGCCACAGAAAGACAATGCTGGAAGTGCTAAAATCAACTGCGCCTGAAAAAACCAAGCAAACCCAAACCCCACAAGCCAGCCTGCAATGACCAGAGGTACTTTTGCAGCTGCCCAAGAAAGAATCCCATCAAGACAGGGATCCAAATGCAATATGGCAACAACGCCAGGGCGTGGATGGGACTTTCATCCTGCTCAGCCTTCATCAAGCTGGGCCTGTACAAACCTAACACCAGGCTAAGCCATGCAGAAAAGAGCAATGCTGAGCTGCCAAAGATGGGACACCATCTTTAAAACACTTGCCTCCTTTGCTGTAAAGAAGCACCAGCGAAAACTATGAAAAATAATAGTAACTTGGAGGTAAGAGTAAGAGAACTTGGTTCCCAATTGCAATGCAAATCACCAAGGAACAGATTCAGGAATGGCTTGGCACAAACCTGTCAGTGTGGGATCACTGACTACAAGCTACATATCCTTTAATTAACTACAAAAATACCAAACATTCTCAGTTAAAAATGACCTGCTCTAAAATCATGCTATCCTAGTGGAAATGGCTTGGTTATTTTTGATATAGCTCTGCTTTGTTTTAAATGCAGAAATTAAAGTTTAACAGCAGCAAGGAGATTGCAATTCCGTCCATTAACCATGTGGATTCTCATATGGTGTCTTGCTGAACAAGCTGGGGGATGGCATTCTCCACAGGTCCCTGATACTGCACAACACCTGGAAGGTTCCCATGCTCCACAAAGAACATCCTTCAGTTGTTCTCTATAAAGATGTCAGCTTGGATTCATTTTACAGAACACAGATCATTCTTAGCTTCCCTGTAGGCTACATTCTGTAGTTCCTGATATGCAAATAATTACCCTGGGGTCTAAGAGCCTTACTTGCACTAAATGAAAGTTTTCAGCCCTAAGGATCTACTTATATAATTCCTCTTCTAATTATTCCTCTCTTCTCTATTTACTCTCAACCTTACATCGCTGATATGTCACTAGCCAGACATGAAAAAAGCCCTAATTAACGTGGTTTTGTCACTGTGACCAAAACAGAGCTATTCTTTCAACTGTGAAATAGACAAAAATCCTTGAGACTAGGAAGCAGTCAAGACTCTTAAAAGGTTAAGATATGAGGGAGAATTAAAAAAGAAAAAAGCCCAACAGCAAACTCTTCAGCTATCATATCTGGAAATTTCAAAATTGCAGATGTCCATTACAGTTTGTATTGACACGACCTTCTTCTATATACTGTCAACCATCAGAGACTAATTTCAGTAACTAGATTCTCTGAGGAATTTTATCCTAGAATTGTTTCCCAATCTAGCACATGCATCATTTGCAAATACATATAACTCCCAGTTAGCATAAAAGTAATCATCATAAAACAAGTCAAAAGATAATTTTTAGATCATTATGCATTTGAAAGCCCAGATGCTAGCTTCAGTATACTGAAGTTTTAACTGGCCATACATAAAGCAAGGAATTTCTGCTGGCGCATTCAGTTAGATTACAAGCCAATTTTCTACTTAGCCTTTCCATTTTTGGATGCCAACTGTGTTTTCTTGATTAAAAAACAGCAAGGATTTTACAGTAGGAAAGAAAACATCTTGGGTTTTCCCACGCTCAGAGAGCAACAGTTCACTATTTTGGTTTCTCTAACCTGGCTTTCTGGTCTCCTGAACAGGGCAGATGAGTTAGAGCTACTGAAACCCAACAATCTTAAAAACAGGAGAATATTTATCCAATAGCAGGTCATTTCCTGAAATACTGGAGCTAAAGTATAAATGGACTAAGAGCCATACGGAAAATTACCAAAACCCACTGTATTTCAGAGACAAAAGTAATAGTCAACCAAAATAAAGACTGAAACACAGTGACATTCAAGTTAGATGTAAGTCCTTCCTGTAGCGATTTCATAGCATTGATCACCAAGCAACTAAAGAACCATCTTCAGCCACCTTTCTGTCTGCTGGGGGGCCACCCAAATACAGCAAGAAAGCCACTGTCGTACAAAACCTGCTAAATTAAATAAGACTAATAGTGTAGTAGAATTTAATAACAACGAATGCCATAAAAAAAACTATACATGAAAAAAATTTCAAAGGACACAACTTGAACAGAACTATCTGTTTATAACAGCTCTGAAATAAACTCACTGCATACTCTGTTTATATGCAAGAGCCCTGGAGAGGTGCAGATTACAGAGGGATTAGTAACATGGCAGGTTTGAACAACTGATTGTTATGATGATCACAGGAAAAAAATACGGAGGCCCTGATATCTGACGAGATGCTTTTGATAAATGAGTCTCCCACAGGCTAGAGCTATTCTTAGTAGGTCTCTAGGAGGAGGCAAAGAGAAAAAGGAGTTGATCACCTGTTGCCATGTAAACCAAATTCAATTCGTCATGTACTTTCTCCAGGACACAAGATTTGGTTTCATGATGTGAAGGAACAGACCAGGAGGGATGCAGCTATGATTATATCCCTCTGTCACGCAAATCTGTGCAGTTTTTAATCCTTTTACCCTAGGTCTGCATAAGCAGCAGCACAGATAACTGCTGTGCTAGGAGAACAATGTTCCCTTCCCCAAGAGATGCCAACAACATAGGGAGTCACTTAATTAGACTCTCAGATGACTGAGCTTTTAGAACAGAAGCTTTGCCAATTAATTTTCCCTCATCTGCAGCAACTCTTTTTGTTAGTTTTTTTTTTCCCCAGCAGCCTTCATCCATCATAATCACCTGCCGTTTGCAGAGCAAAATCTTCATTCTCTTTTTTTCTTCTTCTTTTTCTTCTTTACAACTCCTGCCAACACTGAGTTCTCTGTATGATTGCCGTCCTGTCTCTCATGCTGTCCATTTGGAGACACCAACCGTGGCAAATCTTTGCTGATCTGGTCACACTCTGCTGGGTCTATTATTTTCTCTTGAGTATTGTTCTCTCCCCTAATTTTCTTTTTCTTCTTTTTTTTCTGGCTGTGCTCTACATAACTCTGACTCTGATCCTGGCTGGAATCCTGGGACAGTGCAGGAAAAGCACTTTGCTTCAGAATATCTGCAGCTGACACAGCAGCCTCTTGGTACCTTTGCCACTCTTGGTCACTGTCCATGTCACTGGAAAGGTAACAAAAGGGAAGGAAGTTATGGTACACTTTTGCCTTGAATTCACCTAAAGCACAAACAGCAGAGTAACATAAGGTGAGAACACCTGACAAACACCCAGTGGCTCCAACACTCCAATACCTACAGTTAGCATTTAACCAGTTTGAAAGCTGAGGTGTTCTTTACATACACTAGGAGGGGAAAGAACATCTCCCACAAACATTTCTCATTTCCCAGCACTAAAAAAAAAAAACACACACCAAAAAATCTTTTCTAGTCAAATATAGGAGTCATAAATACACACTTCTCAAACTCTACAACTTCCTATTCCCCTGTGAGAGTCACAGCTGCCTCTGAAATGTGGGATGCAGTAGTACTTCAGGAGCAAAGCAGCTGACAGTGTCCCACCTGGAGCTAGATGGCTGTCTCCTCCTTGCTGCAGGGCAAGGCTCCGATTTCCCACAGTCTCCTGGGACAGAGGAAGAGAAGAGGCGAAACCCTAAAATATGCAAAAGGGAATTTTAGCCACGATATAAAATAGAGGTAAAAGCAATCAACAGTAATCTCCCTTGCCTTGCTGCTGTTACTGTATTGCTATAGTGCTTGACATCAATTATTGGGGACTGAGAGGAGTTAGGGCTCAGAGATCACAGCTTCAAAGTAACAGCCTTCACGGACGCCAACAGAAATTCTTCTATTGCAAATGCTTAGTCAGTTGGGTGTACAACTGGCAACGGACAGGATCTGTCCCACTTGTCATCATTTAACTAACAATGTCACAAAACAGCCAAAATGGCTGCAACTAGAACTCACCATCATCTCCATAGTCAGACTGTCGCATAGAAGTTTGTGAAGGTCCTGATGAGTCCTTCAGGACAGTGATGAAACTAAACAGAAAACCCCAGTCAGATCTTAGACAGGTTTGTGCAACTGCGCTAAACTTGGCTATTTCTAGGAAACAAGCCTATAGGGAGATGTTACATAGCTGCTTACTTTTTTCTTAGTGAAGCTGTCTCCCCTCCCTGCTTTCAGAGCAGACTACACCTTCTCTCCTTAGCAAGACATGCTGCAAGAATGACTTAAAAGCATAATTTCTGAAGCCAACTCTAAACACCAGGAACTCTAGGTCTCCAGGGCCGTATTTACACAATAAATAACGACAGTGGCAGCCCAGTCAGAGGCATACTGCCAGCACAACCCTGAATCAGGTATCGGTTTAGGTTGTAAGAATAAAGGACAGATTCTCATGGTGGCCTTCAAATGATGAAAGTCCTAAGGCACCCAAATTCTACTTTGTCCTCCCCACAACCCATTCACCACAGAGGCAAATGGAGACAGGCAGTGCTGCATAGAGAGTCTTTACCAGAGGGTCACAGCACATGGGCCAGGTTAGTTCATGAAATATTGGAAGTTTGCATTAAATACAGGAATGAAGGAGACAAGAAGAGAAACAACTTCTCCTTCAGGCTGCACTCAGATCTTGAATTTCCTGTTTTTAGCGTGCAAAAGCATCAGCGTACTTGACTCATAGAACAAGCTTTTTTAGTATTGCCTGCCAATACCTGTCTAGCATTGCTCCCAGTTTCTTCGCAACATGTGCTCTGAACTCTGGTGTCGTCTGTAGCTCATTTCCATCCTCATCATGACCGTTCACCTCACGCCTGTTTAAAATAAGAATAATGATTACTTCTTTCAAGGCCAATAACATCTGGTGCTCTCACCCGAACAGAAGATATTGGACTGTAAAACCTCCTACCCTCTAGTAATCAATCCATCCTTGATAGGGAAGACTGCTAAGAAAGATGGAAAATAGCTCAGTAGTAACAGTTCAGTCCTCACGAGCGAGCTAGACATTATTTAGCCATCTCCATCATAGTTAGTAATTGGATTATTTTTCTCACTGAAATAGACTACAAAAGCAAATAAATTATGTCAGGACATCCCTTCTCTTGCACATAGTTCCTGTGTATGTTGCCACAATTCATGCAAAACCTGTCCCAGGAGAGAGGATTTTATTAAGTTGCCTGGCTGGCAACCTTTGAAACTAAGCCTAAAGAAACGCTGCAAACTTAGACAGGACAGCATCACCTTCATTGCAAAGCTCCTAAATCATGTGTTGCTTTCCAACTAACAAGTGCTTGCCTTTACATATAATTTTTTTTTTTTTTTCTGCAACTGTGCTCGTTCCTTCACTGGACACTTGCAGAGTTGGGAGATTTGTGACACCTGGAACTAACAGCAGTAGTAAGTTTTCAACTTCTGTACTCCCCTGCTGCTAAAGACATGAAAAATGTACTGAAAATAAAATAGTAGCTTTTTCAGATTTAAGCATCATAGCAGATTATGGTTGGACTAATTCCTAAAACAGAATAGGCCCTTCCAGTAGGAAGTCTCACAAGGCATTAACAATAAGTAGCACAAACACAACATACATTAATTTTTTCTTCAGTGAAACAAAAGTCTGAAACCAGAAGCAAAAATACCTTAGACTAGGCTGAGCGGGCTGTAACCGATCCTTTTTAAAACCACCTGACAAAAGAAGAAGTAAAGGCAAATTTAAAAGACCTGTGACCTGGACCTCTTTAATCCCCCTGGCACATGTGATTTTCTACCATAAAAAATCATGCCTGAAAGACAATCCACCCCCACCTTCGGGGGAAAACAGTTGCGGGGCAAAGGGAAACCTCCCACCGGCCCGGCGGCACCAGCGAACCTGCCCGGGAAGGGGCTCTGGCCGCAGCAGGAGGCCGCGCATC